CTTAATTCTTTAAGTTTTCCATTTAGGCCCAGAAGTTGGGGTGAAAATGCTGTTCTGACTGGGCAAATCAAAAACTATGACTACTCAAAGTAAGTGGGCTAACCTAAAATGTGACACTATTCTCAGTTCTAGAAGCTATAAAATGAAACCATGCACATAAATGGTTCAACCTCACCATGATAAACACTTAATGGTATGAAAATAGCTTCTTTCTGTGATGCACTTTAAAAGTGTCATGCTTTTCAAGCAGGAGCCAATGCTAGTCCTGTTAGCTATCATTCACAATAAACGATCACCGTAGCTCTTAATTTGATCCTAGGCATAGCATACACGCTCATCCATTTATACTGTCGCCTGAGAAAAATAGGGAATAATGAGCTCCCATGTTACGTGCTATAGGAGATCTTTGAAAGCAGATAAGCCATCAGTATGCATTTAAACATTCTAGACACACTGAGGGTTGCTTCTAAGGGCTTGTCTTCATTGCAGTGTTAGATCAAGATAGAACTTGAGTATTGGCCCCAGTCTGACTCCTGCCCACACATAAGAATCTCTAGCTTGAGTTAAGTGGTGCTTTAAGCTCATACTAGATGGCCCATCAGGGGGCTGTTGAAGCTCAAGTGCTGCTGAGTTAGTAAGCTACAGTCAACTTGAGTTCTGGAAGACTCCCAACACCTTCCCAAAATTCCCAATTCAAGGGTATTTGTTCTATTTTTCCCCTGCCTTAAAACTGGAAGTTCTCCACACAGTATCAATACCTGACTTCGATGGTTGGAGCCCATCTTGCACATGGTTCTCTGTCTCGTAGCATTTGTTCTAGCTCTGCTATTGCATTTGTTCAGTAAGATGGCAACTAGAAGGGGGGACACTTCTAGCCAGTGTGTGCTAGCTTGGGTCAGGCTGACGCTCAGCTGCTTGTTCAGTTTTGCCATGGCTGTTATGGTTAGGGGTGGGGGATATGACAAAAGAAGCTGGTCATTCCTCGTGTTGAACCAATCTGTACAAGGAAATGTGTGGGGGAGGTGGGCAAACTAAGACTACGATAGGCTTCATATTTGTGAATCACAGATGGAAATCAAGTACGTTGTCATGCAGATCATTTGCAGATGATATTGGATAGGGTCACAAATTACTGCTGGAGTCAATGAGGATGAAACTGAGAACAGCCGAAAAAAGTGCCAGGAACTAAGATCTATGACATGGACAAATTGAAAGAGCCAAGTAGTAGGAAAGAATAGAAAGAAGCCACAAAGAAAAACATCACTTCTTTGATGAAAGAAGACATGGACATAGAAGAGATATGAAATCATATAAAAATGGGATTATGAGAGTGGCTGAATAAGCAATGGAATGAATGTTTCGAAGAGCTGTACAACATGCAGAACACAAGTAGATGAAAAGAACCTGGAGAAGTTTTTCAGAACAAACAAGGGAGAGCCAGAATTCTTACAAGTAGTAAGAATCTCCATAGACAGTTTGAAAAAGAAAAAAGGCGCTGGGAAGTGAGAACATAACCACAAAGCTGCTGCAAGCAAGTGAGGAACACATGCTAAAGGTGATGCATGAGCTATTCAACAACATTTACAAACAAGAGCAAGGGCTTAGCAAATGGGGGAAAGCAATAATAGCACTAATCTTAGGGGAGAGGGGGAAATGAAGACAAGAGCAAGTGTAAAAACTACACTGGAATCACCTTATGGCATGTGCTGCGAAGAGCATTCATCAAGACATTGCAGAGGAGAAGGAAGAGGGATTTGGAAGCAGTGGCTGCAGAAGAACAGGCCAGATTTAGACTAGGACGAAATACAATAGATCAGCTATTTGTGATAAGACCGATCTTGGAGAAGTACACAGACTACAATCAAGCTTGCTAAAACAACTTTATAGACTTCAAACAACTTTTTGGTTGCATTGGGCAGAAAGGTTGTGGCAACTTTTGAGATTGTATGGCATCCTCAAGAAACTGATTAAACTAATAGAAAACATATACAGTATGCCAATGAGTGTGGTTAGAGTATACAGGAAGTTGATGAAAGGATGATGACTGTAGGAGTGAGACAAGGATGCATGCTAGCACCAGATTTGCTCAACTTTGTACTGGAAGTAGTAATGGCTAAAGCACTGAGAGATGAAATGAACATAAGAATATAAGAATGGCCCTACTGGGTCAGACCAGGGGTCCATCTAGCTCAGTATTTATCTAGTTCTTTTTTGAACCCTATTATGGTCTTAGCCTTCACAACATCCTTTGGCAAGGAGTTCCACAGGTTGACTGTGCATTGTGTGAAGAAATACTTCCTTTTATTTGTTTTAAACCTGCTACCTATTAATTCCATTTGGTGACTCCTAGTTCTTGTGTTATGAGAAGTAGTAAACAACACTTCCTTATCTACTTTCTCTATACCAGTCATGATTTTATAGATCTCAATCATATCTCCCCTTAGCCGTCTCTTTTCCAAGCTGAAAAGTCCCAGTCTTATTAATCTCTCCTCATATAGAAGCCGTTCCATACCCCTAATAATTTTTGTTGCCCTTTTGTGAATCTTTTCCAATTCTAATATATCTTTTTTGAGATGGGGTGACCACATCTGCACACAGTATTCAAGATGTGGGCATACCATGGATTTATATAGAGGCAACATGATATTTTCTGTCCTATTATCTATCCCTTTCTTAATTATTCCCAGTATTCTGTTCGCTTTTTTGACTGCCGCTGCACATTCAGTGGATGTTTTCAGAAAACTATCAATAATGACTCCAAGATCTCTTTCTTGAGTGGTAACAGCTAATTTAGACCCCATCATTTTATATGTATATAGTTGGGATTATAATAATAATCCCAACTATATACATATAGTAATGCTTTCTAATGTGCATTACTTTGCATTTGTCAACACTGAATTTCATCTGCCATTTTGTTGCCCAGTCACCCAGTTTTGAGAGATCCTTTTGTAACTCTTCACAGTCTGCCTGGGTCTTAACTATCTTTAGTTATTTTGTATCATCTGCAAATTTTGCCACCTCACTGTTTATCCCTTTTTCCAAATCATTTATGAATATGTTGAATAGGACTGGTCCTAGAACAGACCCCTGGGGGACACCACTATTTACCTCTCTCCACTCTGAAAACTGACCATTTATATCTACACTTTGTTTTGTATCTTTTAACCAGTTACCAATCCAAATGGAAGGAGTCATGCTATGTGGGAGGGCAGTGACTAACCATAGTTTCACAGATGATATTGACCTCTTAGCACTGACCAAAGAGGCTCCACAGAGAGTAACTAACAAGGAAAACCAGGAAGGCCACCCCAGTGGCTGGTCAGGGAACCAAGGCCTGTTCACTTCTTTGGGCTCCAGCCCACAGACCCTTAAACCAATGGCTAAGGTTTGCACAGTCCCACACCTTGCTGCTCTTTTGCTGGTCTGGTTCCTACATTGCCTCTGTCAGACTCCTTTGCCATACTCTTTTGGGCATGCCCTTCCTTCTGGGCCAAGCTCCCTTCTCTTTCCCTAGCCTCAGAGAGAGGGACTGCAGACTGCCTCACTGCAGCCCTCTCTGCCCTCAGCTACCTGGTTTTATACAAGCCCCACCTGTTCCTATCCAAGTGAGCCAATGCTAATTAACATTTTTATCAATGACCTAGAAAAGATAAGTTTCAGAGTAGCAGCTGTGTTAGTCTGTGTCCACAAAAAGAACAGGAGTACTTGTGGCACCTTAGAGACTAACCAATTTATTTGAGCATAAACTTTCGTGGGCTCCAGCCCACTTCATCGGATGCATAGAATGGAACGTATAGTAAGAATATATATATACTCATACAGAGAACATGAAAAGGTGGAAGTTGCCATACCAACTGAAAGAGGCTAATTAACAGTGAGTATTTTATCACTGCAAAAGTTTTATTTTCCTGCTGATAACAGCTCATCTTAATTAAAGTTTGCAGATGACACAAAAACTGCAGGAGTAGTAACTAATGAAAAGGACAGCTCACTGACACCTATATAGATCTGGACTGCTTGCTAAGTTGGGTGTAAGCGAACAATATGCATTTTAATATGGCAAAATGTTTACATCTAGGAACAAAGAATGGAGGCTATACTTACAGGATGGAGGACTGTATCCTGGACTGCAGTGACTCTGAAAAAGATTTGGGGGTTGTGGTGGATAATCAGCTGAACATGAGCGTTCAGTGTGCCACTGTGGCTAAAAGGGTTAATGCTATCCTTGGACTCATAAAGAGGGGAACAGAGTTATTTCACCTGTTTTTGGCACTGGTTCAGCTACTGCTGGAATACTGTGTCCAGTTCCGATGTCCACAGTTCATAAAGGATGTTGATAATTGGGAAGAGGGTTCAGAGAAGAGCAATGAGAGTGATTAAAGGATTAGAAAACATACCTTGTGATGGACTCAAGGAACTTAATCTCTTTAGCTTAACAAGGAGAATGTTAAGGGGTGACTTGATTACTGTCTGTAAGTACCTACCTGGGGACCAAATATTTAATCATGGGCTCTTCAGTCTAGCAGAGAAAGGTATAACTCCATCCCATGGCTGGAAGCTGAAGCTAAACAAATTCAGACTGGACATAAAGCATACATTTTAAACTATGATGGTAATTAATCAAGACTGGATGTTTTTCTAAAAGATCTTTACTTCTTTTGGGGAAGTTCTATGGTCTCTGTTATATAGGAAGTCAGACAGGATGATCACAATGGTTCCTTCTGGCCTTGAAATCTATGAAAATATGAGACTGAAGCACAGCCCCCTGCCATGTTCTACATTTACAGAAAGCCTGATGTGCTATTTCATGTTACCAAATTACATTTATGCGTACATGTAAAAAATAGCTATTGGGACATATTAGAAGCCCAGCTCACAAAGTCCAAAGGGTATGAAGAGACGCACGTAAGACAAATCTAAGCACTGTACCCTGCCCTCTGTCTGCACCGACTGCTTACACGTAGCTGGTGAATGATTTATAAACCTAAAGATAGCAAAGTACAAAGCTGCATGAATATCATAGTTAATCAAGAAGAATGCTTTCCAGACTGCACTTGATGTGTCTTAAAATGGTGCAAGTTGCTGTGTCCATTCTGCTGCTTACAGGTAAGCACTTGGTACTGTTATCCTGTCATGGTCTTATTTCAGACGAAGTAGTTAGCGAGGAGAAGTTGCACTGCAGGCATTATGTTCTAAAAGACTGGAGGGTACAGCAGAAAGAGCATGGGCTGGTGTTGAGCACAAGAGTAGGTAACAGGAACTCTGAGACAGAATCCTGACTGTGCTCTCTGTCTATGGCTTTAGGCAAATCATTTAGCCTCTCTCCGCTTTTCCATCTTTAAAACAGGGATAATATTGCTTACATAGCTGGAGGAGGTTTTCTGAGGATGAATGGGTGGTTTGTGAAATGCTAAATGCTTATTATTTTTTAAAATAATTCTGTAAACTTTATTCTTACCTTATTTTTTTTTACTAGTTATTGAGAAAACAAATAGCTCATATGCATACCTGGTCCAAATTGACATAAGTAGCTTGCGATTTTTGAAACAACTTAGGGCACCTAGTTTTCAGAGGGCTGATATTCACCACTTTCTGAATGTTAGACCCTTGAAAGGTATCTGGAACTGGGCACCCAAAGTCGCTAATCATTTTTTAAAATGTCAGAAGTTGAACTGTAGTTGCAGTGAAGTGTCACTATGGCTAAGATGATGCACTTTTCAGCTAAACCCAGGCTAGTACCATAAATATCATACATGCTTTAAGACTGGTGTGTTCCACAGTCAGTAACCAGATATAACAGTAGAGATTTATGATAATCCCTTACATAAAGAGATGTTCCCCTGCATGTGAATGTATTAACTGCCAACCCAAGTATTTTCGAAAGTCATTGATCCAGGAGCCCAATGCAACCAACTGTATCTAATGACAATAAAGAAACTGTGCCACTGGGACTTGTCTCAGCTTAACCAAAATGTAACACTTAGGAAACATGAACTAATTAACCATCTCATGATTCATGAACTAAATAACCTTACACAGATGGTGAAAACAGAAGCAGGTGTGACATCCCCCCAAGGTCACACAGGAATCTGTGTCAGAGCTGAGATTAGAACTCAGATTCTAATCAGAACTCAGGTCTGGGTTCAAGACCTGTGCTGAGACCAAATTTTCTTCTTGAAAGGCCTAGAGAGACATGCTGAACACCTGACAGAGGGGGAGCAATAATTTAAAACACTATTTGATTCTGTGGTGAAGGGGAAACCTGTTACAGAGTGAGACTATTTCTTAAGTCCTCCCACTGCTGTTTTGGCCAAGCTCCTTGTCCCTCCTACAAAGTCCCTTGGATGCATGGACTTACTGCAGCAGTGCTCCATAGGGAGGGGAATAGGAATAGGGAGATAGGGAGGGAATATCCCTACTGGATATGTTGGCAATGTTGCGCCTCTCTCTGCATGTGAGGTGTGGGGAGAGGCACCTAGAGTCCTTGCTTTCCAAGATTTGATAGGACCTCACCCATTCCACTGATCTGGTCTGCTCTGCACTTAGTACTCCTCTTAATCAAACTTTACAACAGATGTTGGTTAAGTAGGGGGCTTTAGACCTTTCATGGGTGCTATTCCTTCTACCTGCACTACACTTACCTACACATTAAAGCCCACCACAAAACCTACTTTCAGTTTAGCTCAAGATTATTGAGCAATAAAGCATTGTGATATTAATTTTTGAGAAATGCTGTTTCTCCCTTTCTCATTTTCCTTTCCATCTTTCACAACCCCCTTATTTGTGCTCTTTTCAGGCTTTCCTTACAACTAATTTTAGTAGGCTCTTACAGCCTCTTTTGATCACTGGTTATGTTCAGTTCAGCCATTCATTAGCTATGAAGGGTCTTTCAGTAAAAATCAAGGCAGTGGGGATTAAAACATGACCCACAGGGTTTGCTGATTAGAACCTTACACTTCACCATCCTTTCAAATGATTTCCAGCAGCACCCCCCCCCCCCCATTTTTGGGAAGTGTGTTATATAGTGATTGAAGCCTTGGGTCTAGGCTTGGTTCGACCACAGAGTTATTGTGTGACCTGATGCTGGAAAAATCAAGAATAGGACAAAAGTAAATGAGGCTGTCATAGTTAGAATTATGGCAAACAAGTAGGGCCAAACATCTGAAATTTGAGTGCCTCTATCCATGTTTAGGCACCTAAGAAGAATGGCCAGTATTTCAGAGCTGCCGAGTATCCACAGCTCCAAGTGAATTATTTTGGTTATTTTGGATTCTTCAATATTGATATAAGTGACTAACATTTTGGCCTATGTTTATATTTTGTGAGGTATATATTGCAAATGTTTACAAGTTACCAATTTTACAATAAGTCAGATCAAAACTTAGTTGTATATCTTGACACTTGATCAATGATCTCAAATCACAACGTATAACATAGGGTGCGTAATATGCAACTCACAGGCAGTCTGTGGAACCCTAAAATGCATCCTCTAGCAACCGCCTTCCTGTACCTGAAAAGGGTCATGTCCAATCAGCAAGTTTTGATCTCCATGAAGTTTCACATGATCGCTCATAGTTAATGTATGTAGCTGAGACAAACTCTTACCAAAGCAGCAATTTCTATATTTCTCCAAAGGGCTCAGGATACTGCTCCAAGCCCTCAGAAACTCTCAGAGGAATTGACAATGACTACAGATAAGAATCAAATCCAGATTTCTCTTGACTCTGGGAAGCATTATCAAACCCCATCTCATGTTTGTCATGAATGTATCTAGCACATAGTATGAAATTAATTATTCTGATTAGGACAACTGAAACGATTTCAAATCACAATGGGTTTGAAGTTGCAAAATTCTGGTCCACGTTCTTGAATCTTCAGTACATTTTGTGTGTGTGGCAATATTTGAAGCTGAGATTCTGATATGGTTTTGTCTCATTTCTAACTTTAGGGAACATCCCTAAACATTCAGTTTACCTTTTCAAAGTACTCAACACGTCAGCATCAGCAACGTTAACAGGACCAAAGGGTCAGAGGTTGAGAGTTCAGCTGTTGTAATCCAGGCAGTGCTAGCTGGAATATCTGATATCACAGACAAGTCTGCTTTTTGAATCTGACATTCTGACCAGGCACATTCAGAGCTGAGGGTTAAAAGAAATACTACACAAAAAGAGAAGGATTGGCTCCACAGCAACTGCTGGACATGACTACTGATGGGTTTTGAAATAATGGCAGACATGCAAAAACAAGAGCAAAATCAGAAAATAAGGGAAGAAAAAGTAGCTTTATTTGCTAATGTGCATGGAAACCAATTACTGAAACATTGGTACTCATTTCCACATTGTTTTAAAGATTAAAACATATGGGGTAAATATCAATGGTCAAAATAAATCCTTCACTTCAATGGAGTTCCACAAGGGATAGATGTAGTCCCAATTGTCAAAGCTTTCCCATTAGTAGTGAAATACTAGTGCTGACTTAAGATCTGGGGAGCTGCATCCTGTATAGTCAAGATTTTCAAGAGTGGGTAATGTTTGGATCCCAGGTCTATAATTAGACATAGATGGTGATTTTTCCATGAGTGTTAAGCACACAGCAGCTCCTATTGCTCAGCACTTCAGAAAAACCACACCATCTATATAGGTGTTAACAAGGCTCAGGAGTTGAACTTTAAGCACCTATTCTTAAGTCTTTCTTTATATTACTATAGTTGTACTGGGATCCTGGTAGCCTGGAGATCCACCAGCTGAACAAAAGGAACTCTCCTGTGTGCACTCCTGGGATTTGTGCTTAACTGGCAGTCATTATCTGAAATCTATTCTTGTGCAGCAGATTTAAAGTCCCACTCATGACTTGTGTTAAGGGTTTAAACACAAGTTAAACTAAGAGCTACACTCAAGTTAATTTTACCCTCTTTGCATATTTGACCTGCCTCACTGTACCAGTTGATTGCATCCTAGTAGTTGAATCCAATTAATTTTCCTTTCCACAGCCAAGTTTTTGACTTTCCAGGCTGGATTGAGTACACATTCACTGATTGAACAGAGATGACAAGAGTCAATCAGATTCTCTTGTGACAGACTGTACTATTGTGTTTACCACTTTTACAATGCTATGATACATTTTGTACAAAGTATGCCTTGTGAGGTATCGTTTGAAAACTCATCATTCATGATCGATATTGTCCTGGTAAAATATGTGTGACAACATTGTATGTAACAGTATACGATTCTACTTTATGATGTTACTAAGGCATATTCCAAATCTGGGAAAGCAGCCCAAACCAATTCCTCAGAGACAAAAGGAAAAGTGATGCCTTAGCAAGGTGTCAACAGAATCAAATGGATTATCACATAGGTAAGCAGCCATTGTTTGGCAGGAAGAATGGTATTAACCAGACATTTATATCTTGGCAAAGGAATAGCTGGGGGTTCCTGTGTGAACAGATTGGCTATCCCTGAACCCCAGCTGGAGATGATTCTCAAAGTGGAGGAAAAGAAATAAAAATGAGGAACAGAGGACACAAATCCTCTCTCTCCCCTCATCTCTACTCATGGCATCAACAACATTTGAGAGACAAAAGGAGCATCACTGAACTGGGGGTGGGGTCCTGGCTGACAGATCCAGCGAGACTGCTGTAAATATGTGGTGAAAGAAACCTTTTAGCTTTAAATTCACTTAGCTTGTTAAGTTAGATATTAGTTTGTGTTCTACCTTTTATTTCTTTGTAACCAATTCTGATTTTTATGGCTCATTATTTGTAATCACTTAAAATCCATCTTTCTATTGTTAGATAAACTTGGTTTATCTAAACCTGTGTGTGTTTGGAGTGAAGTGTTTGGGAACCTCCTCTTGAGATAACAGGATTTGTGCATATCATTTTTTATTAATGGACTTTCTATGAGCTTGTGTTGTCCAGAAGGAAAGAGCTGTACAAGGACTTATATTTCTGGAGACAAGTCTGAGACTGGAAATTTGTTGGTATCACTTTGGAATACAATTCAGGAGTGGCTGGCTAGAAGCACTCAAGTAACTCAGCTGGGAGTAATTTCCATGCTAGAGGCTGTGTGTGACAAAGGCCAGGAGTGGCAGCTCTCACAGCGAAGCAATGTAAAAGGCACCCCATGTTGGAGAACTGAGGGGACACAGCTCTTCGGCAGTCCAGATTGTACCCTGGGGAATGTCACATTTCTTCACGGTCAAATTTAATCTTGTGCCAGCTTTCACTAATCCACAATGAGATGCTCTGAAGACACTGGGACAATAGTGATAACTATTGTTTATATCTCCAGGGAAGACTAAACTCTCTGCCTCAGACCGTGATTATAAAAACTAAGCCACCAAGCATGACTTGGTGACTTTAAAAAGATTCATTTTAGGTGTAAGAATATTTACTGAAGTCTTCCAAAAATGTGAGCAATATATTCAGGGAATCAAACACTCCACCTGGTAACTAACAGCTGCTGTAATCCTCACAGCAGCTCACTCCTCAAAGATGTTCCTTTTATCTTCCCCTTCTGGCCATGACTCTATATTATTCTTATAATAATATTTTCATCCAGAGGGAAAAAAGAAACAGTAACAGAGTAAAAACGTACATATCTAACATTGTTTGACCTTCTTACCACTGACTTATCTTTGTTTCACTGGAACTTTCAATATTCAGTGTCCCTAAGGATACTATTATGCTTTGTGAGCAATTTCATTGACTCGTATCCATCACACTTGCTCTGGCTAACTATGTCCAGTCTTGCAGCTGGATGCTTCGACATTCTGCTCTTCTAATTTTGGTGCAAGGGTGCTGCTAGATGCGGAATTGCATACAGCAGAAAGTTCTTAGGTAAGCCGTGCATCTATAAAAAATTATTTGAAGATCTTAAATTCTTTTATAAACATTAAATCAAGCTGTTCAACAAGAAGAGAGGAATTACACCCATTTTACAGAAGCACAAATTGAGGCATAGGTTAGGGAACATGTCTTAAGATCATACAGGGTGTTAGGAGGCAGAATGTGTACGGAAACCAGATCTTCTGACTCCCAGTTCTGTGTCTGAGCCAAAAGACCATCTTTTCTCTTTGCTCTAACAGCACTGTGTGCAGTTGCCTGTTTACAGACAGTCAAAAAATTCCTTTTGTGTATATAATTTCTCAATGAAGTGCCCCATTCATTCTTGCACAGGTTAATTCGGCATGAGGAAATAAGAATACATTTCTCATGGAATGGCATTTCCCATTGGCCAAGGGTGCAGTCTAGGAAGAATATGTATCCATTAAAAAATTAAGCTTATACCTTTAAAACATAGCACTTGCCACCAGCGGAGCCAAGCTAGAACCTCGCTGCCCCACAAAGTAGCTACTAGTGCTCATTCTTTGAAGAAAAAAATTACAGCTACTCTGTTTATGCTTTTTAGGGTAACTCACCAAGCAGTCACAAGGCCAAAGTACTCTTCGGCAACAAAACTTAAGCAACATCGGTGATCCCAACTAACTATATTTTTTCAATGAAAAAGGTTAAGTCTTATGCTAGCGGCAATGGACATTATGGCATTTATTTTTGACCAAAGTTCAAGCGTCTCACCACAGAATAGTAATGACGTTTGCAAAATATGTTCAATATAAAAAAAAATAAAAATGAAAATATATGCCTCGGTAGAAGCTCATAGTAAGCTGACTAAGAAATATTACACTCTTGGTAAAATAGCCTTGTTTGAATTTCTTGAACTCTGGAACAGCCAAGTGTTACTTGCATGCACAGAGGCAGAACATATTTCTCTGTGGAATTTTTCTTGCTTTCAGAAACCCAGGAATAATTAGCTATTTCGTAGTCACCTAAGAAACAGCATTTTATGCTTAAAACGAAGACAATTTGCCATGGAATATGCATTAGTTCATCTGCACAGTTGGGTCAACTGAAGAGTAATTTTATTTGAAGATGACTGAATTTCTGCTTCCTGTTTCTAGTGTTTGAGCAAGCAAAGCATAAGAAGCATATCAAACGTTGGCGAGAAGACCTGTTAGGATATCTAGTCCATCTTTCTGGCAAAGCAAAATTGTTTGCTCTAGTATTATTACTATTTTACATGTATATTCCAATAGCTGAAGATCACAGCCAGATTGGGCCCCATTTTGCTAGCCTCTGTATGAACAATGACATTTTCTCTTCAATTTTCCGATCTAGTTTTCAAGTACTTTTTGGCTCTGAAAAGCAGCAGCATTGTAAATATAAGCAGCCGTTTTACTCCACAAATCTGTTCCCTGTACAAGGTCTTGATAGTGACAAATGAAGGTTTTCACTCTGGTTAACCCAGCAGAACTGACACTGCTGAGAAGGAGTGAGCTGGATTCTATCCATTATTGTGCATAATCAACACATGGGTTTACTAAGTTCAAATCAGTCTCCCTGTACAAACTCAGTGGAAGCCATGGGGGTGGATAGATGTCAGTGATTCCATAGTTTGGCCTGCGGAACTCCTATTACTGGATGCAATGTGCAAAGAGTACAGAACTCTGCTTGAATCTACAGTCTTGTGTACATGCAGAAGTTGCACCAGTTTAATATAAGGTGTTATTTTAAACCCCTTTAGCTAAATGGGGGCAATCCTGTGTATGGACACACTTATTTCAGTTTGAGTGATTTTTTTTTATTTCAGTTTTTAAACCAAGAGTGTTCAGACAAGTTTGCAGCAGTTTAAGTACAGTGGTTTAAAATAACACATTCAGTTAAACTCAACTTTTTTGTATACACAGGCCATAAGATCTGAAGTTAAGCTGGCAGAGGGAAAGGGAAAACCTAAGGGTATGTCTACACGACAGCAGCACAGCTACAACCCTGCAGCTATACCACTGTAGTATAGACACGTCCCACGTCGACGGAAAGGGTTTTCCCGTCTATGTAGTTAATACATCTCTTCAATAGATGGGAGCTAGTTCAGTGGAAGAATTCTTTCATTGACCTCTCTGCATCTACAGTGGGGGTTAGTGTCAGAAACTGATGGGGATGGTCAGAGCCATGGCAGCTGGGTCTATGGTTGGAACCAGGGTTTAGAGCCGGAATCAGAAGTACAGAGTGGGGCTGGAACAAGACCAGAGTAAGAACAAGGGTGGAACAGGCTAAAGCATGTGGAGTCTGTTACTACTATCAGGCAGGGGAGAGTTTGAAGCCTTGAAGTGACACTGACCAGACTGAGCTGCTCTTTCTCCTGTGAGGCTTATATACCCGCCCTGAGAGACACTAGACTGGCACCTGGCACCTGGCACCTGGCTTGTGGATTGGTTGGAGCCTACCACAAGAATGATTCATCAACACATGGGGTTTAAGCAGGTTCTAGTTCACAGATGACTCCATCACCTTACAGTTAGGATGACCTAACTCCATTGCACAGGGTAAAAATTTTTTCACAGCCCAGAGCAAAAGGTAGCTTGAGCTAATTTTTAGGTGTAGACCAGACCTAAGGTGGAAATAGTGAGACAAATTGAGAACCCCTCTTGTTGAGAGGCATTCTCATTTCACAGAGAAGATGGCCTGCATCAAGGAGGGACTGAAAAGTCGCCCCAGAACAAGCTGAGAGCAAGACCAGAAACCACCTCTCTGTCTATGAACTAGGCCCATTCACCAAGTAGCTTCCATGGAACCATCGATGGAGATCAGGGCCATCCCCTGTGACTGACCCCTGCCCATCCTAGATGGCAAGAGTAGAGAACACATGTATTTGCTATAGTACTAATAATTAGAGTAATAAGAGAAAGGATAGTAGAAGACACATGAAAAGGCAGAAGAGGGAAGGAAGGAGGGGCATGGAGGGAGAAGAAGAGTATTTTGTATTATCTGGTCTTGCAACTTGGACATGTTGTGACACTGTGTAATTTATTAGCTAGCCTGTGAAATGTGTGGTATTTGGAAACAAACAAACTTTAAATCATTTCTGGTTTTGTACTATTATTGTCTATTTTTTTATGAAAATCAACACAAAAATCACACACACACACACACACACCCCGAAAAGAAAAGGGATAGTAAAGTCTAGATTACTTTTTGCTAGCTATGTTTTATGTTTTGTATTTCTCTCAGAATTGATAATGATCAGTTTAAGCAATTCCCCTTTCTCATTTTCCCTGGTGGACTGTTTGTGTTACACGCACAATAAAGTGGAGTGATTCATTTTTAAATAACTTCTCCTATTTGGATTTCAATGAAAACTTGCAGAAACCCTTCTACAGGATGTAGGTTTGTAAAATCTTGTTTTTACAAAATCCTAAACTTGTGGCTTAATTTGGATTCAAATATTCCTTTTGAATGAGCTCTAATACTTTGGTTTAGGTTTAACATTGTTCTGTGAAGGAATGACACATGATTACAAATCTCTGTGAAGTGTAAGTTCTAAAATAACTGACAAACATTATGACATTGCAACACTTCCATTTCAGGTGTATTGGGAGCACCGTTTGTATCTGAAGAAGCAGCAAATGAGTTTATACAACTTAAAAGACAAACACGATATTCTCAGAATTATTGGGATCCAAGCAGCAGCCAGAATGCATGGGGTTACACTCTGGCTGAACAGGTATTTGTTTGATAACTTTGCACTAAGTATGTATGTTGCCATCTGATTGCCTGTTTGCAGATATGGTACTGGCTTTTAAAGGGACACCAAAATTCCATTGTTACTGAACTCATTCCTGGAAAAGTACTAGGATGAATAGTTCATGGTTACAATCTCTTATACTATAGTCAATAGCTTCCTTATTCATGCCTCTAAGAATTGTAAAGTTGCTAGATAATGATCTGGCCAGTATAATCTTGCACAATTGGTCTTGCAATAAAGGGTTTGTAAAGTGAAACTTCCCACCACCACTGCCACCTCGCCACACACTAATCTTGTTCTGGTAAACTTTGCTGGATTCAAAGCCTTGAAAACAGATGGCTTCTAGCCACAGCTATGGCACAGACAATGCTACTGCAAGCTTACATTCACCATCCACACCTTCCTTTCGATCTGGCTTCCAATCTCTGTTGACAATTCTCCTGTACTCCATCACCCAGGCTTGTAATACAGTTGATCTTCAAACTTTCTTTCCTTCTGCTCCGGGAGCCAAGCTGTTATCAAATCTCATCAGCACTGAGCCAACATCGCTAAAATCTATGACTTTCCTCTCCATCCTGACTTCTAGGTGATCACCCAGGCCTTACTCGTCTCATGCCTTGAGTACTGACCGCAATCTTCCCTTTCCCCCCGCCCTCCCAGGGGACTGTATATACAGGGGTCCTACAGGGGACTCTTATTTATGGTAGGGTGGAGGCAAAACTTAATTTAGTATGAAACTAGGAAGTTCGCTTCAGGATTGCATGTGATTTATTGTGTGTGAACTTGAAACAGCAAGCTATGCTACAGTTATATAATCGGATCCACTTCTGGTTACACAGCTTTCCCGTGGATGTGGCTCATTACACTTTTAATGCATGATTTAAAATGTTCAGAACTAGGATCCATCTGAGTCCTCCTATATAATTATCTGAGCAACTTATGCCATGCTACAAAAGCTATTTGAACATGACTCGCATCTCAGGTTAGGTATGGTTCTACCAAAAGACCTGTAGTCTATTGAGGTTGTATCAAATCCAGTAACACCAGCCATTTTGTTCTACTTCAGGTTAGTGAATTATGGACGGCTTTGAGAACCACAACACAATACTACATGGACTTGGGATCTTTTGCTTTTGGTCCTGCCACTGCCCGGTGAGTTTTGTCTAAAGATAGTACCTACCTTAACAAAAGGATGTGTATAAATAATTGATGGAGGAGATAATAGCACTCACAAAAGGATCCTAATGGTATAATATTATCCTGTGCTGAGTTTCCCTGTGTTTTAATTGCAAGAGATGTGATTAGAAAATAACTCTTTTTTTGAAAATTGGAGTGAAAGGGACTTTACTAATTTTACTGGCTGTTTTGAATTTAAATATGATGAATCAATGCTGCTGGGTAGTTATAATGATATTGTTAGTCTAATAGAGTTTTAAAATGCATAGAGCTTTTTCTATGGGCTTTGTTTACATTTTGAGAAATAAAATAAACAAAGCACGCAGAAGTGACCTTTGACTTTGGATCCGACACACACCATTCAGACAATACTGATAGAAAGCAGCCCATTGTAGAAAATGAAAGGAGGGAGGAAGGAACAGTTTCTTCCTGTATAAATTTCAGTAGTGCGATTTCATACTCACAGCCATGTTAGTCTGTATCCACAAAAAGAAAAGGAGTATTTGTGGTACCTTAGAGACTAACAAATTTATTTGAGCATAAGCTTTCGTGAGCTACAGCTCACTTCATCGGGTGCAAGTAGTGCAGTTGTATTCAGTGTAGAATAAAAACATGATTGATTGAAATGGAGAAAAAGATAGACATGGAAGCATTTACAGATTGATAATTTCATGCAATAAGTCCATGTCTCAAATTGTCATGTGAAAATTTTGAGGAGAATGTTAAGGTGAACACTTCAGTTTTTTAGTGATTACAGTAAATGTAAGGAACAGTCTCTAAATAACAATGACATTTGACATGTATAGTACTACAAGAATAATAAATGCTTTACCTGTACAGATTGCTTTTCAAGGGTAGATGTCACAGACCTTTACAAAGGAGGTAATATTAATCCCATTTAGGAAAGTGGAGGCACTGAGAAGTGAAGTGATTTGCTCAAGGTCACTGATACAGGAGGGAATAGAATCCATGTCTCCAATTTAGTCGTATGGCCTATCTTCTAGACTTTTTAATATAAAAGACTACATGGGCAGATGTGTTATAGTGGTGGGAAATAAAAAATGGAGGGTGGGTGGGAATTCAATTGCTCTATTTCCAGTTCTGCCTCTATTTTGATGTATCTTCATATGTGTTTGTAACATGCCTAGTACAACTGGACCCCAAGCCCTGAATAAGGACAAGCGCTACAAGAAACAAAAACACTTTGATTTTTAATAAAAAGCTTAAACCCTCCAATATCAGGGCTCAAATCACTAGGAAGAAATCTACTCTGGGGCCAGGCTAATCATAACTAGAGCTGGCTGAAAAATGGAAATTCCTTCCTTTTTTACAATTTATTTATTTTGGAACAAAAAGTCAAAAAACATTTCACAAGAAGGGATTTCCAGAAAGTTCTGTTTAGGGAGAAACAAAACAGAATTTTTGAAGCTTCCCAGCTGCTTGGCAGAAAGGCTGTTTTCAATTTCACTTCCTTCCTGCAGGCAGAAAGAAAAATTGACCAGAGTCTTCCAGAGGGACAAGTGGGGCAGAGTCATTTCAATTTTCCTGATTTGGAAGAAAAATCTGTTTTCCCCTGGAAAACTGAATGTGTGAAAAGGGCCTTTTCTGCTGGCAAACCATTCAGATGGAAAGTTCCTGACTAGTTCCAATCATAAGTGGGGCCCTACCAAATTCAGGGTCCATTTTGGTCAATTTCACTGTCACAGGATTTTAAAATTCATAAATTTCATGATTTCAGCTACTTAAATCTGAAATTTCAGGGTGTTATAATTGTAGGGGTCCTGACCCCTAAAAGAAGCGTGTGTGTGTGTGTGTGGGGGGGCGGGGTTGCAACATTATTGTAGGTAGGGTTTGCGGTACTACTACCCTTACTTCTGCACTGCTGCTGGCGGTGACGCTGCCTTCACAGCTGGCCAGCTGGAGAACGGTGGCTCCTGACCGGGAGCCGAGCTCTGAAGGCAGAGCTGTCACCAGCAGCAGCACAGAGGAAAGGATGGCACGGTATGGTCTTGCTACCCTTAGTTCTGCGCGGCTGCCTGCAGAGCTGGGCCCTTAGTCAGCAGCCGCCACACTCCGGCTGCCCAGCTCTGCAGGCAGCCGCGCAGAAGTAAGGGTGGCATGGCATGGTATTGCCCCCCCTTAAACTGCACAGCTGGTGACAGGGCTCTGCCTTCAGAACTGGGAGCTCAGCGAACAGACACCGCCCTGTGGCCACCCAGCTCTGAAGGCAGCGCAGAAGTAAGGGTGGCAACACCATGATGCCTCATAAAATAACTCTGTGATGCCCCTGCAACTCCCTATTGGGTCAGGACCCCCACTTTGAGAAACGTTGGTCTGCCCTGTGAAATCTGTATAGGATAGAGTAAAAGCACACACACAAAAAAAAAGGATTTCATTGGGGAAAGACCAAATTTCAGGATCCGTGACGAGTTTTTCGTGGCCATGAATTTGGTAGGGCCCTAATCATAAGTGTCTACTACTTGCACATGCCTTTGAAGCTTATGATACTGGCTGATGTTCAGCAAGTTACAGGACTAGGTATGCCACATGAGTCCAGTGGCATGGCAATTCCTATGAACCTCAAAAGACCCACTCTATACGAACAGACCAATACATTGATGGTTCTACGTTATGCACAGGCAGAACCCATATTTTCGATTGTAAACTCTTTTAAGCATGTTCTCACTGAACTCTTTCTAATGACTTCAATGGATGTTAGTTTTAAATTGTGATCTCTGTAGGGCAGGAATTTACCTTCATCTCTGTTTAATTGCCCAGTACACTGCAAATGCTACACAAATTAACCTCCGATGCTTTTAGGCATGCACATGAGAGAACAGATATTGAAATTTTGAAACTCGAGAATATCAATGTGTTCCCCACAGTTCCATATTAAATAAAAGACAGCTTTGAATTAATTCAGCAGAGCCTTCCTAATATCACTTATTTCTTCTTTTTTAGGGACCACATTAGGAATCTGGGGCTCACCTCCAGCAGCAGATAAGAAAACACAACTAAACCTAAGCAGTTTCACGTATCTGCCAATGTACTGTATGGGAGGATCTTTATCCAGGAGTTGCACTTTTAGCTATTTGCCACAGCCACATTTACTTTGTTCTGTACCTTATTAAGACATCTAAAGCTGAAACACACACAGTAGCCCCACAAAGTCATAGTTTGTATTCATCAAGTAAAAAATATAATGTTAAATCATGCTAAATTGAACGTAAACGGTGAAGATGACAAGGCATCCATAGTGTTTTAGTAGGACAGGTTAAAAATTGTTTTTTCTTTTCTTTTTTGACCAAATGGATTCCCCCTCTTCCCACTCCTACAAAATAGTCCATTTAAATAAATGTTGTCATTCTGGCAACTGAAAACTGGATGTTTTTCACTTCTTTAACTAAAGACTTTGACATTTTAGTTACTGAAAACTGAAATTTTGGTGTTCCATTTTTTTTGCTAAACCCAAATTTCAAAGGAAATTTTTAAAAAGAAATACTCCCTCCCTCCCCCTTTGGGTGTGTGTTTGAGGATAGTGAAAATCATGTCAGCTCTAGTTTTCACCATAGGAAGCAAGAACGTTTAATATTGTGACCAGTACATTAGGTGATTTAGAATACAGCTTCCACTTCACTACCTCCAAAACTCTGCTTTCAGCATTGAAAGTATTGGTCTTGAGCTCTAAAGTGCAAAATGGTTGAAGTCCGGATAACCTGAGCGAGCTGCTCTCTACTTACAGGACACCAATTGTCAACAGTGAAGACACTTATTTGCAGCACCCTGTTTAACATGGATGTGACTAGTGACAAGGCATTTTCCGTCACAGGTCTCAAATTCTCTCTTCAGTCCATCAGCCAAAACTACTTGACCATCAGGACATGTATTGTCTCAGGCTTTTTGGCCAAAAGAAGAATAGCATACGTGAAGGAGGGTGGTTTTACTGTGATAATTTAGTTTTCCTCCTTGGATTAATAAAGCAGATCATATGTATTGGGGATTTTCTTATAGGTACAAGGACCCAGAGCTACAGTGAAGTGACTGCAAACTCTAAAGGAAATAGTAAATCTTTTAAAGCTGAAAGACCGTTTTAACATTTCTGTGTTTTCTATTGCATTTTTTTAAATGTAAAATAATTATAAACTGCAACTGGTTTCCCACTGGAAGTTCTTGATCTTCTCAGTTAGACAGATTTTTATTAGACTGGGACTGAAAACACACATCTGATTCTTTTATCACTTACAATACCATGACTTCATTCACACTATTAATCATCAGTACAACATTTCATTCATTCTAAAGAAAAGGCCAAGAAATAAACACCAGTAGAGAAAAACCAAAGAACGATTACATTCATTAGTCTCTCATAGGAGATCTGGTTATTGTATGCTTTCTCTCTTGCCTCCTCCTCTTGGCCACCGATCTAGGCAGTAGCCCCTAGAACTGTTGACTTGATGGGCCAGTAGAGGTAACTATTTCAGCCCACTACCATCCATTCTTTCTTCAGTAACAAAGGTAGCCATTAAAACAACAACTGAAGTTCGCATTTAAGGCTCGGATAGTCACCTAGGGTTGGAAGGTGTTATGCGGCCACAACTATGAGGATATGTTGAAAAAAAAGTCTCTCCCATGCCATGCTAAGGCAGACATGCATAAATTCAATTTAATCACAAATGGAATTGATAGCTGAACGTGACTTTTTGCTTCTACCTGGTCATGAACTACATACAGCAGGGTTCATTTTGATGCATTTATTTTACATATACCATTTAGTGTCCCTATCTTGATCCAAAATGTCTGTGACAAGATACTCCTCTAAAGAATATATCTCATGCTATTAACTGCAATGACAGTGACAGCAAGAGTGAACTGTATTCAAAGCAATTTAGTAGTGGCTGGTTAAATATACCAGTCAGGGTATTGCCAGAACCATTCAAATTAGAGACAAAAAAAAGTTTAGCAATCTCATCACAAATTGGAAGTGTCTAGGCTGGTAGCTCAAATAAAAAGATGTAATTATCTACATTTGAAATATGGTCATCCATCATGAAGAGAAACTGGCATTTTTCATGTACAATTAGAATCTTGAAAAACAAATTACAGCAATTACTTCCCTCAGATTATTGAAGACATCTCTATTTCAACATACAGTGAAATAGAGAGTAGCTTCGATAGGGAGATCTCTCATGAAGAACTGGCTGGTGCAAAATGGGGTGTGGTGTGGGGATGCAATAGATGTCACTCTCCCTTTGGGTCAAGGCTAAATCCATGTCCCACCATGGTGTTAGAAGGACCCTGTGCTGCTAGACGAGCCATTTTTCAGATAATAGCAAAATATTTACTTAACTCGAACTTTTGCTTTGAATGTATTTCCTTTACAGATCCACACAAAGATTAGGTTTTATGTCAAGCAATTAGCTGGAGGAGGCGTCTGAATGTGCTCCTTATTCCAGCATTATAGAACCAAGGACATCAATGATTCCTTCCCTAACATGAACTACAAGAAACCCATCCTGGAGTCACACTTCCTATTCAGCCACTTACTTCCGGCTTGCAGACAAGATTTCATTGACGACCTCACTCCAGTTGCCAATAGTCCCTACTCCGACAGTCTCAGCAAGGGTTGAGTGAGCATGTGAGCTTTCCTCTCAAACCAGAGATCTGATCTCTCCAAGTCATGACTGACTTTGTGGACAGCCAATTAGTGGGATCTAGCACAAGGAAGGCTACAGTTGTGCTTGCTATTGCTGTCAATATTACAGTAACAACCAAAGCCTGATCTATTGCAATGCTTTGTACAGTGTAAGAGTCACACAGCTTAGAATATAATTTATAAAACATTACCCAAACATGTGTGTGATACACAATCCGAGAGAACAGGATGAGATTGAACAGTGATCGGAAAAAGGAGATGGTGCACAGTGGTAGTCTATTCGCTGGTTTCTATGGGTAACCATTGTCATATAAATTAATGAAATTGCCACTTGCTGGTCTAGAACAAAAATGTATAATGAATTAGTCCCATCTCTACAATTTAGAAATTGGGTGGATTAGGATTTGAATGAGCCTTCCATAGAAATACGGTTGTGCCATAGTTGAGGCATGCATTGTGTTTCAGGCATGCATTGTGCTGCTTTTAAATACTAATGCCATGAATGTCTTTGATCTGGTCTTTGAAGTGTGTTACATTTCCTAGTTAGTGCAGCCCAGAAGAGAGTTGACTTAAAGAGTCAGTGAGTGTATGTGCCAGAATACTACTCCTGTGTTTTGTCATGGATATTATCTGATCCACTTTTTGCTTTGCTGCACATCAGAAGGCAGATAACTGCATAATACCAATGAACCCTTTGTTTTGTTTTTAGATAGGACCACCAATAAACATCTAGTTTTCTTTCACAAACATTTAATGCAGGGGAACTGACACACAAAAGGAAATTTTACCCTTACATTTTATTTTGCACAATGTTCTGAAATGTTACAGTTTTGCAACATTTATAGTGCTTTAAGCAGAGGAATACCTGTCAAGATTGTAAAAAGGGGAAAAAAAGGACTTGCAGTTTCGGGGAGTGTAGTGGTGGAGTATGATGTTGGGACTAAGGTTATTTTGCTTGGTTACTAGACTGAGGAAATATACAGAGGTTGAAATAAGGGGGAAACTTTTTAAACGGGTAAAGGTCAGTTTCCTACCTTTACCAAGGTGGCAGCTCCCTTCCCTCCTTCACAGTGGCCATTAGATTAAATGTACAAAGCAAATGTTTCAAAATCCACGTGGATTTTGAAACATTCAGAGGCCCAGGGCGAAGTGTGTAGTGTTCTGGCTTCCTCAGGCCTATGAGCCCACCAACTGCAAGTCCTGCAGCATCAGGACTTTATTGGCTTTTAAAGAGCTGGTTCTATCATTCCTGAGAATTGGACACCCTGGCTGCAGCAGGCCAAACCATGCACAGGCGTGCTTATGTCTAAATACAGAAAGCCTTGCAGTGCCAGAGTAGCACAGACATGAATTAATCATCTTGCCAGTGTGAGATCATTCAGTGTCTAGCAGCACTACAAGTCATTATGTGTCCAATGAAAATAATGGATTCTGCATGTTACTGTCACATTATCTTGTGACAGTATTGTTATTAGCTTGTGTCAGCACAACTATTTATATAAAAAAAACCTTGAAGGCAGCTATTGTATGTATGCTTTGATCTGTTTCCATTTCTTTCCATTAGTACATCACACAACAAGCCAGCCTCCTGGAGAGAGGGTCCCTCAGTGGTTGTTAGACTGTAGGTTTAACCTAATCCAGTAATTAATATATTACAGAAAGTCCTCAATGTATTGGCTGTTAACATAACTGAGATTTCTATGATAAAAACACAATTTCCCGAGGAAAGTCTTGAGAAAATATTGTTACAATTCAGTTGTTACAATTTCTTCCTATGTATAAATATGGCATCTACCATGATGGGGCCTCAATTTCAATTGGGGCCTCTACAGACTAGTATAATACAAATAATTAACAACAACTAGTTACATAGGAGAACCACTGGAAACATCCAGGCAAAGACTACCTTCGGACTGCACCAAAATGGTACCCCTAGATTATTATAAATCATCTAGAGGATGAATAGGCCTGCCATTGCTTTCCAGACAGAATAATCCGATAGTGCATGTGCCACATCAAATGACAAAAGCTGGAACGACTGAGTGTCAGGTATAACAGGAAAAGTTATTCATGACTTACACGCCTTTCAGTCTTAGCATTTAGGACAGGTTCACATTTACACACCTGCTTGCTGCCATATGTGTCGGTGTTCACCTGCATGAGAACTGATTTGTATTAATCATCAAGACACAATAAAAACAAAACAAAAACCATACTGTGCAATGGTAAGATACAGATATTAAAATGTAAGCCATTCAGTGCATAGACTGACTTCCTATGTTTGTAGAATATCTGACACATCTGGGATAGCACTGCAATAGACACTACCAACAACCAACACCACTCAAGGAAAGTATCGGGGGAATTCTCAATGCTAAGAGTTCCCCCCTCGCTGTATTAACTTGCCCCATTGCATATCCTCTTATTATAGGGCACATATTAGAGATGAGCTAAAACAAGAACTCCCCCCCCCCATTCCTTGACAACCCAAACATTTGTGCTTTGGGTGAAATGGAAACCAGATCCAAGCCAATCCCATTTTTGATTTTGGAACATCAATGGCCTATGTGGCTTGCAAAGCAAAAATCCAGCCTCCATGACTGATCTTCATTATGCTATGTAGTTCATTAATGACATTGATTAATGTCAATATTTAGCTACAAAAATAGGAAGAGAAAATACTACGTATGGAAAAAATGACCAAGTTACAACACCAGGAAAAGTCTCTGTTCAACAAGGTTTGCCTTTTTGACTAATTTAATTAATAAATAATAATAATAATTTCCCTCCTCTTATTATACATTAATAGAATGTACAAGCTTGGCCTATGGTGCTTACATACACACCAGCTTTCTAGGCTAAAGCAAAGCTCAGAGTTTGCTTCAAGTCCAGCCAGGCTGCAGTCTTGCACAGCTGAACTCCTCCAAAGCAGGGCTGTTATCACACTCCCTTCATACAACAGTATAAAGCTCTCATACACAGAGCACTGTTTTCCAGTAAATTGGTTTGGATAGTAATGCTGTAAAGGTCTGCCTTTCTTCTGTCTGTTGTGATAGCATTAATCTATGCTCTTTGACTCAAGGCTTATAATGGGAAAGCTGAGCAATTTAATCACACAGCAGTGTACTTACCTATTACACTAGTAATGATAACAGAATTAGTCAGTGTGCTGTGTACCATAAGTAGGATTAATGAAAGGAGATAACCCAGCTCTCTCTTCAGCATATCAGAGAAGATTATGATTTATCACAGAAGGGCTTGGGACTCTCTTGGAATTATCCACTAGACCAAAATCTTTAACAAAAATTGTTGACTTCCTGGATAATACAAGTGCATGAAAATGGAAGTCATTGTTGTCCCTATGCTGGGTGGTAGCAGTTAAGGCCTTGCAGGTTGACTTCATGTTGGAGGAGAAGTTAGTGACATGGAATCTGCATATTTTATTTACATTTATACACCAGTCCTGAAACAGAGGTGGTCACAAATATCATGCAGGCTGTGATGGAG